CCCAAGTGCAGGCACTCCAGTCCCTGGCACTGGGCCATTTCTGCCACCCTGCTGTGCGGGGGGGAGGGGGGGACAGGTTTGCATGTGCCAGCGCCAGTGGCCTCCCCCCTCCCCCACCGAGGCAGCTGGTAGAGTGGACAGGCCTGCTCCCATCCCAGACACCTATCACAGGTGGCTTCCTTCGGAGTGGGAAAGCCTGGAAGTGGCCGGCCAGTAGAAAACTGTTTACACAGGTGTGTGAGCACAGCCTGCAGTGTTTACCTGGTTTGTAACCAAGAGCTGCCTCATCTCTGGTGGGTGGTGTGGACCCGCAGCGCCACCTAGTGACCAGAGTGCCACAGGCTTGTTCTTTCCTGCAGTCCCAGGGACTGGACAGCAGTCAGGGTCTGGGACCTCGGCCCCTCCCATTTCCCCCTTTCAGGTCTGCAAAGGGATGCTCACCTTAGGACTTTTAAAATGGAGGTGCCTTTGGGGTGCCTGGGTGCCTCAGCCGGTTGAACAATCAGCTTCGGCTCGGCATGATTTCATGGTTCGTGGGTTTGCGCCCTGCGTTGGGCTCTGTGCTCACAGCTCAGAGCCCACGTGGGGTCCTCTGTCTCCCACTCTCTGCCCCTCCCTTGCTTGCACTCTATCACCCCCAAAATAAATAAACATTAAAAAAAAAAAGAATAGGTGCGATTGAGTGGCTCAGTCGGTTGAGTGAGTGACTCTTGCTTTCAGCTCAGTCATGATCCCAGGATCATGGGATCGAGCCCTGAGTCAGGCCCCACGCTGAATGTGGAGACTGCTTGGGATTCTCTGTCTCTTTCTCTCTCTGTCTCTGCCCCTCTTTCTTGCTTGCACGGGCATGCACTCCCTTCTCTCTCTCTTTCAAATTTAAAGGAAAAGTTTTTTTTTCATGTTTAAAAAATAATTTGCCTTTGAAAGATAGAATGAAGTATTGCGTCTAAACTTTTTTTTCAAGAAAAGCTAACTTTTCAGAAAATTCATATTCATGACCGGGATGATGTTTGCTTGTTGTCTAAGCCCTGCATGACTTTGGTTGTTCCTTTGTCCTTCCTTCGGGTGAAGTAGGACAGCCACCTTTGCTGCTCCTACAGGCTCTGCTCTCTGCTCAGGGCTCTTCATCCTTTACTGGTGAAATTCATTCAGTGGGTCTGGGGGTGAGGCCCGTGGTCGCATCTTGGCCCAGGGGCATCCGCTTGCATTGGATCTCTGCTGGTTGTGGCTGCCCCGGGGGGTTCCTTCCTTGGTGTCGGTGCCCAGAACAGCTCTGCCAGGGGCGCCCTCCTGCCATGCACTGGGTGCCACTCTTCTCTTCCCTTACCCGTCCCGAGTCTCTGCTGTTGCCCGGGGAGTGAACGTGAGGTTTCTGGAATTTGTCCCCTAGAAGGACCCACCATCCCTCCCCTGCAATGTTATGCCAGGAGCTTAGTAGAATTTTTACTTGTATACGCTTACTTACTTATTATTTTTATTTATTTTTTTATTTATATTTATTTATTTATTGTAGAGATTTAATTTTTTTAATTAAAAAAAAATTTCTGAGAGAGAGAGAGACAGTATAAGCAGGGGAGGGTCAGAGAGAGAGGGAGATACAGAATCTGAAACAGGCTCTAGGCTCTGAGCTAGTTGTCAGCACAGAGCCCGACACGGGGCTCGAACCCACAGACCGTGAGATCATGACCTGAGCCGAAGTCGGACACTTAACCGACTGAGCCACCCAGGCGCCCCTTATTTATTATTTTTATATATTTGGTTTTAAAAACGTTTTTAAGGTTTATTTATTTTTGAGAGATACAGAGAGAGCACAAGGCGGGGAGGGGCAGAGAGAGGGACACACAGAATCTGAAGTGGGTTCCAGGCTCTGAGCTGTCAGCACAGAGCCTGACAACGGGCTTGAATTCACACACCGCAAGATCATGACCTGAGCTGAAGTCAGATGCTTAACAGCTGAGCCACCTGTGCGCCCCTATTTTAAATGTTTACTTAGTTTTGGGGGGGTGGGCAGAAAGAGGGGAACAGAGGATCTGAGCAAGCTTTTTAAAGGCATCAAGTGGAAAAAATAAAAGCATCAGGTGATGGCTGTATGTATCTAAGACAGGAGTCCTGCTGAAGGCCACGAAAGAAGGAAGTTTCTGGAGCCGAGCTCTGCGCTCCAGGGATGATCCTTGTGTTTTTCTCTGGGAAGACCTCCCACAGACGTGACACACGTTGGTCTCTGCTCACGTGGCTGCCTCGGGCGTGTGGGTAATGGACCAGGGAAATACCTCCGTAATTCTCCTCGGGTTCTGTGCCAGTGTCCTGGGGCCTCCCTCACAAACCGCCGCAGTAGAAGCGAATTCTTGCAAGTTCCGAGGGCCAGAGGTGCAGGCGTCAGCAGGGTTGGCTGCTTCTGGAGGCGCTGATGGAGCACCTGTGCCAGGCCTGTCCCCAGGCTTCTAGAGGCGGTTGCTGGCTGTGCTTGGCATTCCTTGGCTTGTGGCCGTGTCACGCCAGTGCTTGCCTGCTCTGTCACATGGTGCTCTCCCCGTGTGGTCCTGCGTTGCTGTGCCTCTGCATGGCTTCCTTGCAAGGAACTGGCCGCTGGATTAGGGCCCCTCCCAATCCAGCACGGCCTCATCCTAACGAAGTCCTACCTGCAAAGACCCTGTTGCCAAGTAGAGTGCATTCAGGGGCGCCAGGGGTTGGGACAGCCACCTGTCTGTGGGGGAACACAGCTCCTACCAGCTCCCCTCTTCCCATTCCCCTGGCAGGCCCTGCAATTCCCCGGCCTCTGCTTATCCTCTGACTCTTATTCTGGAAGGTTCCTGAGGCCTGCACCCGGTGTCCTTCCGCACATCTGGGCATCCGCCGTGTTCCCAGCTGGCGCTGAGCTGCCCTGTCCGTTCTCCTCAGCACCTCCAACAATGTGTCCCCACCACATTGCTCTGTCTGTCCTCTAGGCTTTCCAGCTGGGTGCGCAGAAGGGTCTGGAAGGCTCTGGAATGTTGTCCTCCATACCACTTTCCTGCTCTCATCCCTGTGGCTGGAGAGGCTGTGCAGACCCGGCACTCCTTCCTGTCTGCCGAGGACCGGCTGGCGGCCCATGTGGCTTTTCCCATCTCTCTTGCCATCTCTTCCTGCCTGTCTTTCTTTTTTTAATGTTTATTTATTTATATTTCTTTTTTAAAAAACTTAATGCTTAGTTTTTGAGAGAGAGACAGAGTGTGAGCAGGGGAGGGGCAGAGAGAGAGAGAGAGAGAGAGAGACAGAATATGAAGCAGGCTCCAGGCTTCAAGTGGTCAGCACAGCAGCACAGAGCCCGACGCAGGGCTCAAACCCATGAACTGTGAGATCATGACCTGAAGTGAAGTCAGACACTTAACCAACTGAGCCATCCAGGAGCCCTGATGTTTATTTATTTTTCAGTGTAGGGGAAGGTCAGAGAGAGAGAGGGAGGCAGAGAATCCCAACCAGGCTCTTTGTTGTGAGCACAGAGCCCCACTTGGGGCTCAATCCCACAAACCATGAAATCATGACTTGAGCTGAAACCAAGAGTCCAATGTTTAACCAACTGTTTTTCAAATAAAGTTTATTTATTTATTTATTTTTATAAACTTTATTTATTTCTAGGAGAGAGAGAGAGAGAGACAGCGTGAGCAGGGGAGGGTCAGAGAGAGAGGGAGTCACAGACTGAAACAGGCTCCAGGCTCCGAGCTGGCAGTCAACACAGAGCCTGACGCAGGGCTTGAACCCACGAACCGCGAGATCATGACCTAAGTGAAAGTCAGACGCTTAACCGACTAAGCCACCCAGGCGCTCCATAAAGTTTATTTATTTTGAGAGAGAGAAAGAAAGAATGAGAATCCCAGGTAGGCTCCACACTCAGCACAGAGCCCAGCATGGGACTCGAACTCACAAACCGCGAGATCGTGACCTGAGCCAGAATGAAGAGTTAGGTGCTCAACTGACCAAGCTACCCCGGCACCCCTTTTTGTGCCTGTCTTTCTTTTTTTTTTTTTTCTTTAAATGTTTTATTTATTTTATTTATTTATTTATTTTTTTAAAATATTTTTATTTATTTTTAGGAGAGCTAGGGAGAGAGAGACAGCGTGAGCAGGGGAGGGTCAGAGAGAGAG